CACACCCTGTTTGAAAAATACTTGGTATTGGTTTTCCTCCTCAGCTGGATTCTGGAACCCATATTCATGCTCATATGGATTCCATTGGAGAAATGAGCTTCTATCCATTTAAAATGTATTGAGTTACTGTGGTGCACATACAAACCCTCAACATAGACTGATGGGGACACAATATAATAACATATTCAGAAAATTAATTGTATTTCCTCACTCTAATCCAGAGTTTTATCTCTTGTTCAGTAAATGTGATTCTGAGAATTTCTGTGTGTAAACAAGCTTCTCTGAGGACTTAATTTGGGGGTTCACCTTGGGGTTTGCATGAATGATCAAATTGTCTTTGTGCAGACCTCCTCACAGAATGCAACCCAGCATGCTAGTGATCATTTCTAACTTCACACTGTGTAGAGTGCTCGTATCAGACTTTCTGATTTTCACCCTTGTAAGCAGAATATATTGGATCCTATGAAACGATATTGAGAACTGAGATACATGCTGTGCATTTGTTACTTCACTGCATTAATCCGAATGTCTGTCCTGAGATTGTGCATATTCACATTTCTGTGTTTATTCCTGTGTAAAAGAAATCTTTAGAGATAGTTGGATATTTAATTGAACCTTGGAGTTAATTATATGAATATTTCTCTCTGATACACTGTGTTTTGTCATGCAGAAGTATTAAATTGGGAAAACATTTCAATATAAAATTTGAAATTGAAAATTAATATAATTCTTTATTATATCTATAATCAAGAATTTGCCTAGGTTCATATGATTCTTCAGGCCAAATTCTGTGGTTCTGTATTCTGATACCTAGCTGCAGATTCTGTGTGTGAGTGCAGAACTTCAGTATTAACCTTAGAGATCAGATTTCAGGACTGCTTCGTGAAAACCTTCTGAAGTCTCTGGGAATTCACCAATGCAAGACATTAGGGGTTCTGCTGTGGAACAAATCCATACAAAATGTCAGTCTTAGAATCATTAAGATTGGAAAAGACCTCTAAGATCATTGAGTCCAGCCTTTGAACAATCACCACCTTGTCAACTAGACCATAGCACTAAGTACCACGTCCAGTCATTTCTTGAACACCTCCAGGGATGGTGACTCCACCACCTCCCTGGGCAGCGTGTTCCAGTGACTGACCACCCTTTCTGTGAAGAAATTCTTCTTGATGTCCAGCTTGAACTTCCCCTGGCACTCCTTGAGTCTGTGTCCTCTTGCCCTTGTAATGAGGGGCCCAGAACTGGACCCACTACTTGAGGTGTGGCCTCACCAGTGCCAAGTACAGAAGGACAATCACTTCCCTGTCAGAATCACTGCAACTCCACTGATTTGAAAAGTCTATGGATTTATAGGAGGAAAAAGTCTAGCACCTCATGCCTGGATCACACACTAGTACATTTTGAAACTAATTATTTTCCACTTCGTTGCATTTATATTCATTAGCAATTATCTTTTTGATATCTCATTTTTAACATTGCTTTTCTTGCAAAGTCTCTGATAGATTTTATTATTAAATTTTGCCACATCAATTTCAAGTTATTAATACGATTTGGATTTCAGTATTCTCTGAGAGTCATAATGCCTGAAAAAAAAAGATAGAGAAGTACTTCCATTTTAAGGCACTCTAGCTCGAGACCAAGTTCAGAATCTGAATATCAAGTATGGTTTGCTTCTAGGAGCCTCTGTTGGCTGGTGCAGTGAAACCCACAGAGACTGTTGGTTGAAAGCCTCATACAGAACTCAACATTACAGTATACAAATGAATGTGTCTTCCCATCTTTACAAGCATATTTTTTGCATTCCACTAGTGAAGTTAAGGAGGAAATTTATTACTGTACTTGATAACATCTATTCTGGTTCTGTGGAAACTTTTCATCAATCACTGCAAAAAAAGAAAGCAAAGAATGAAAATAGAAGAGAAACAGAGGCTTATTGATTACTTGTATCTTAGTCCTAGGCCTAATCCAAAGACAGAGCTTTTATGATAAAAATAAATAATTCCTATTATTTGCTTTTAATGTACACAAATGCATTAAATCTATGTTCTTCTAAAGTAATTCCTATGTATCATTCAAAAGAAATGCTCTCAAGTTACAGAATAGTGTATACAGATATAGCCCCTGCTCAGAGGCAATAAAATCTAGTTGTTCAGAGACTTTCTAGTTGAATCAATTTCCATTGATAACTAAGAATTTGAATGCACTCTCTTAGCAAAATCTCTGCCTGACATAATCTTACAACCAGACACAGGGTCTGTATATGGTTCTGACATACATTCCATTCCTTGTGAGAATTGTACTTGTGGAAACACAATCTCATGAGAAATGTGTTGCAATGCAGAATATTCATACAGCATCAGGCAGCGTTCTGAAATCTTTATTCTTTCACAACTGTGGTAGGGCATTTAGTGGCCTGGATTTTACCACTACAGTTCAACCTGTTAAGAATAGCATTTCAGTGGTGAAGAGGAAGGAGCCACCCTGATCTGCCTATGCTCTCAGTTTTTCCTCTTTTCTCCTTGTAATCATGCCATGTGCTAACTGCTCTTCCTCTCTCCGTGGTAGCCTGAAACATTTGGCTTACAGTCTACAAGAGGATGTGTTCCTTGCAACTGCAACTCCTTTGGTTCCAAGTCCTTTGACTGTGATGGAGATGGACAGTGTTATTGCCAGCCTGGGGTGACAGGAAAGAAATGTGATCGGTGTGCCCATGGCTTTTACAACTTTGAAGAAGGAGGCTGTACTCGTATGTAAATTCTTTGCACCCAAGTGCAGATTTATTTATTTGTTCATTTGTTTATTTGTTCCTAAGATTCTAGTTTGTCTGATTTTGGATTGCCTAACAGATTTTCCTGACAGCTAGGTATTTTCAACAGCAGTCTTGTAAATTGGTCAGTTGGCAAGGATGGAGATTGGCAAGAAGAAAAGACCCAAGCAATCTCTGCTATTGTATGGTCAGTTTTTGGCTAATCTACCATGTTTAGGAGGAACAGGAATGTCCTGTACTCCAATGACTGTCTGCCAAAAAAAATTTCTATGAAGTTCCTATAATTTGGTTATGTTAAGGGCATTATAGAAGGCTGATTAAAGTGCTTGGCAACTCATATCAACCTGAAGGAGTATGAAAGGAAGACAAAACCAAAAATGAAAACACAAAACCCCTTTGCTTCTAGTTTTATCCCAAACCTTTTCACTGTCCTTACATGGTTGATCCTTTTGTATTATCACAATCTGTTTCTGTACAGTAATATGTAGGATCTTGCTTACTTGTGTACTTTTTGTGTACAGCAAGATCTTCAGGTAAAGCTAGCTACTATGCCCTGTGTGTAGACACATGAAAAGTCTGCTTTTCTAGATTCTGGAGCTCTAGCATTGGATATAAATACACCCAGCCACTTCTTTACATTTATTTTTGTCATTTTGGACATTAGGTCAAAGACTGAAACAAGTGCTTCCTATCCTTGAAGTAGTACAGACCACTATATCAAAACCAATCTAATTGATAGATTTCTGCACAGGGAAATGTCCATCTTTGCTAATAGAACTGCATTTTTAGAATCTCACAGACTCATTTAGGTGTGATCACAGGAGACATAGATAGTTGTCTAGTGTGGCTGACTCCTGGGATGCCAGAATGCTGCTATTATTCAGGCATAAACCGTATTCTTTCCAAAAGCAGAAATCGCCATGTTCGGTAATCTGTTTTTCCTCCTTTCCTGTTCAGATTGGCAGCAGAAGCAGCAAGTTCAGCTCTCTGCCTTTTTTTCTTTCCTTCCTTTTTTTAATGGAAGGAGCATCGAGGCCTCGAGACCCACATTTGTACAGCAAAATTCAATTTCACCTGTAGTGTGGATAAACCTTGAGACAGGCTGGATTATAGATCATATTTGAAAACATTGCTCTATGGTATTGTCTCCCATGGCAATGAAGGGTTCAGAAAACATTAACAGCCTTGAAAAGTGCAAACGTATTGGCACCTTGGAAAAGAGAAAGATTGGTTCCCTGGCCCACTGCTGAGAGAGCTTGAAAAAAATTGTAAACGATAAGTGCAGTCCTAAAGCCTTTAGAACATATATGGTGGGGAAAAAATACTATAGTCTATCTTTATGATTAACCTCTTATTCTAACATTTCACAGTTTAAAAACACATCACTATTGTGAAACACGACAAAATGTTGTTAACTTCATCAGTTGGAGAAGAAAAAAGGGAGGACTATTAACAAGATTTCACATTAAAATTTTAACTGCTCTCTTGGCAAACTTTGAAATGACAGAGTTTAAGAAACAGTGATGAAATGGGAAAGTGTGGTAAATCCAAGTAACATTTTAAATAGAAATATATCAGCCTGTGGTCATCAAATGTTTAAAATAACAGCAGCTAAAAATGTTCAGAAAATTCAGATTTTTACAATTTCCTAAGTAAATAGAACAGATGGAGAGGAATTCTGTTTTCAACATGCTGGGTTTTCCCCTCTTATTTTTAGTAGGCTTTTTATGTATTCCTTCAAATGACAAAAAATAAGAAATTAAATTATGAATCACAAAGAAAATCAGAAATTTAATAAAAGTATATGATATCATGTTAGGACGAAAGTACAGAAAAAATAATTCCATACTGACAGTTAAGTATCAAATAAAATATTGGGTGTCTTTTATCTAGCATTTATCCAAAAGGAATATAATTTGATTTTTTCTTGTGCAATAAAAATCCATAAAGCCTAAAGAAAAACAATCCTAAAGCATCATCAGTTAATGCTGACATTCTAGCAGCAAAGATACAAAAGAGATTTCTATTTCACTATTGCTTGCAACAAATGTGTTGTATTTTTTCCATGTTTTTTCAATAATGATAAAATTAAAAATTAAAAAATATCTCCTTGTTCCCCTCCATGCCTTTTGAGCATGTATTCTGAAACATCTTCAAGCCACAGTGTGGCAAAAGATTTTATGTAGCATGCAGCATGTCTTGTTCCTGGTATGATGGAGTTAAAGCTTGCTATTTTCCTTGCTTTGGTTACCTCATTTTGAAAGCATACATGGAGAAAAATAAAGTCACTTCTTATCTGAACTATAGATATGATTTCTATTTTTACACATCTCTTGTTTTCTAGTTTCACTCTGAATTGAATTATTTAATACAGTAAAGGCAATAAATGAAACCCTCAATAATGAACGTTATGTTACGCTGCCCTTTAAACAGCATAGTTTGCTTATGATGCTAAAGTCATAGTTTGCTTATGTTGCTTTTTCCCTGACCTCGGGGGTAATGTAGGTGGTGGGTATGAAAATGACCATGCTCCAGTTCTGCTGCTTCTACCACTTAGATGTCTTGTGCTCCATAATTACCTCTCACTTACATACCTTGAATCTGCATTTGCCATCAATAGGTTGTTTACTTAATAATCCTTTAAGACCAAAGACCACTTCTGGAACCACTCTCAAACCTGACGTATTTTTAGTTTAATATAATCTGTGAAGAATCCCATTTTCCCATGGAGAGGAAGCAGCAACTTCTTCATGTCCTCCTGAGGCAGAGGACATGTAATCTGAAAAAGAAGGAATAGAATGGGAAAAAGAAACTGAAACACCTCTTTTGGCCTTTAAGAAAAGTCTGTTTAGAGCAGCAGAAATTTCAGGAATTTGGCTGAAATTGGTATAAGATGTTAAATACACTGCAAGTTCCCTTCATAGATGGCTTGGAGACACTCAGGTGGCTTCTTGCATGGGCCCAGAAATTTTGCAGATGTAATCCTGCAGTGATATCATGAGAGTGTACCATCTCGGAAGTCTCTGCACTTCTGCAGATGTTGCCTTTATTTTTCCCATTCTGTTCTCATTGCAGTTATTTCAACCTCAGTTAACCTGTGTTCCATTGATCCTAGTTTTGGTTTCTCTGGGTTTATCCTAGGTTTTCTGCCCTACTGTGTCTACAGATAACTGAGAGTTCATTATACAGTTGAAAAATTCTCCTGACCCTGTTAGGGTCTGCTCTCCAGGTGTCACACAGATCCTCTGATTTCTTTTTTTTTTTTTTTTTTTGGTCTCTCATGAAGCCTGCCAGTGTTCGCATTTTGGTAATAACTGTGATCCTATCAGTGGCCGATGCATCTGCCCTCCTAATACTGTTGGAGAGATGTGTGACAAATGTGCACCAAATTACTGGGGCCATAACATTGTCAGTGGCTGCAAGGTGAGTGGACTTCTGTTTTCTCCGGGTGTGTTACCTCTTTCACGGTAATTTATAACTGGAACACAATTTTTGGTTTGTAAATCATGGTTTGTCTCCTCATTTGAAGTTTTGGTGTCAGACCGTGCTGTCATGTTGACGATCTGTTACTGAGCACTACAGATCCATTGCCTCAGGTATGCAGCCTGTAACACAAAGCCACCCTGTTTATACTTCTGTCATGCTGAGTCAGTGTCCTGCTTGAGCCTGGTTTTATTTCATTATAGCTGTGTTTAACGTGATTGAGGAGATTACCACAGTAATAAACAATGTATGTAGATGATAGCTACAGGAAATTAACAGTGCCTTTGTGGAACAAATTTCCTTTGGCCTTAATTGTGATACCGCTGGGAATTTGTATTCAAAGTTGACTTGAGAAGGGCTTCAACTTGTGCATAAAAGAGAGATGAAAAGAAGCATCCACCTTCATTGTAAATTGCACTTTCTTCCTATGTTCTTAAAGGGGAAAGAAACTTCATTAGCCTTTAGATCCTTCTTATCTCAGTGTTTGACGCAGACTTTAAAAAACTCTGAAGAGAAAGGAGAAGAAATAGGAAAACAATGATAGAATGTCAAGGGGGCCATGAAAGCTGTTGTTAATGCCCTGCCCTTGAGTTGAGGGGAGCAGTATTTGGTTAAGTTTGAAAACTGGTGTCAGTGAACATTGTGCTAAGCTCAATTGCCCTCTCCTCTCTGCTGTGGTCATTGATGATGAGGGATTTATAGTAGTGTTACAATTACTCAAAAAAAGCTACACCTTGTCTGAGTGTAGTCATACACCATTGATGCTTTTTCTTAAAAGGCTGCTTGTCATGTAGCTCAGGCTGCAAACCAAATGTTAAGCATATTTCTTTTTTGTATATATGGAAAACTTCTGAAACTCTGCTGTGCCACTGTGATATAGACTCTTGGCTTCTGAAGCCAGCCTAATGAGGTTGAAGACCTCTGTTTGAGCTCTGGAGTATATTCTCTGGTTGTCTTTTATGTGAGTGCATTAGTATGACTGTTCCATGGCACTGTCTAAATTAATAATGATCTATCAGTCCACATCTCTTTCATTATGTTGCAGCTAATTTCTGCAAAGTGAGATGTGAATCTCCTGCTTGCACTCTTTGTGGAATATTTCCAAGGTTGTTGTAACTCAGGGACAGAGAGCATTGCATAAAATTGCTTGCTCACAAAACAAACATAGCATCCAATTGTAAATTAGGTTTTGATACTGCACATCATGCTATTTCAGAGTATAGTGAACAATTTACTTTCTAAGGTTTGTGTTCAAATATATCTTGTAGTATAAGATTGTGTCTGTTAGAAGGTTTTTTCCTTGGGTTAGGTAGTAGTCTAGGAGCCTAACATTTCACCAGTAATGAAGTAGTTTCTCTGGCATTCAGTAAAGATTGTATTTGAATGTTTCATGTATATATTCATCTTCTTTAAAATTATCTTTTCAGATCAGAAGAAAGGTGCTCTAAATAGTCATGTGATAAACAGTTTTGCTGAGAAACTGAATCCACATTTTCTTCCTCTCTTTTTCAGCTTTGTGTCTGTAGTTTTAGCAAGTCTATCCATGTCAGTTACTGTGGTAACCTGTACTACTGGCACTGAGTTTGCTTCTGTAAGCTGAACTTCTCCATATGAGATTCTGGTCACGCCAGTGATCACAGCCAATGTCCTGTGCTAACTTTGCAGTACAGTCACAGTAATAGCACTGAGGGATTCTTCTGTTCTTTGGAAGTCTGCAGCTTTCGCTGCTACTTACTTCTGTATTCAATGCCTAGACCCCCTGGCAATCCACCTATTTCTATCCTTGCCTGCCTGCATGAGTCTCATTCTGTGAGCAAGTTCACTTCCCAGCACACCATATGACTAAATCTGTATCCCTTACCATGTAGATTACTGTCATCTAGGAGTCTTGTTTGTACAGAGAAGATGGTTACCTCTCTGATGGATAAGTAATAGACATTGGACTAGATTCCTCTGAAACCACTGAACCAATTGCTCCTGAGCAATTCCAGTTTTAGGAAAGTGGTCTGAACATGCTTGCAGAGGATTTACATGCAAAATACTTTTTAAAGAGTGCTTGTATTTCAGAAGTTAATTTTGTCTGCAAAGTGTCCCAGTGTCTTTGAACCTTTTAGGTTTATTTGTTTTCACTGCCTAACTTACCAATGATAAGTAATATCTGTTGAAAAACACCCACCAGTGTTGTATGTGTATTTAGTGTAAATGCTTGACCCATGTTGAATGAAAATAAATTACTGCCCTTTTATTCAGATATATTACCTTCAGACAGTGGAAATTCACTGCTGTATTTTATTTATAGATTCTTGAAAGAGTGAATTGCTTTTTGGTTGGGTTTGGGTTGGGTTTTTTCCAGCATCACAATTGCAATTGTCTCCTTGTTTCTCTCCTTTATAGCCCTGTGACTGCAGCCCTGTTGGAACCCTAAGTTCTCAGTGTGACTTAAATACAGGCTGTTGCTTCTGCCGTCCTGAATTCTCTGGGGATAAATGCACTGAGTGCAGGTTGGGATACTGGAATTATCCACATTGTGTTGCTTGTCAGTGCTTCCTGTCTGGGACTAATCCACAGAGCTGTGATACAGAGGGGAAGTGCTCATGCATTGATCATACCGGCCAATGCAGCTGCAAGGTAGGACGATGAAGGTTGGAAGATGATCTTATAGCTACTGAGTTTATTCAAAAATTGATTGACATTTGTGCTTATTTGTTCTAACAATATATGCAGACAAATCTCCTTGGTTTTCATAGTGCCTCTGCTAACTGCTGTGGGAAGAGTCCATCATAAATAAAGACTTTAAGTGCTTATCAGTTGCTTTTTCACATACTAACACTTGCCAGGATAGCATCCTCTTTAGACCCTTTTCTCACTTTGTATTTTTTTTCTGTTCTTACAAAACTGTTGCCAGTTTATCCCCATAATACAATTCTTGTTCGGATGTTGGGCAAATTAAAAGCAAACACATCAGTAATCACAGTATGCCACTGTGTTAGTTCAAAGTGCATTGACTTAGAGGGAGTCAATATTCATAATTTCATGAGTAGAATTCACTGCAGTAGTGTCTGTTCTGAGTAGATGCATCCAATTCAGGATCACTAAAGCAAAGACTTTTGGCATAATCACCCACACCATTCTTATTTGGAATTGTTCTTGGAAGAACAGCACAGTTAGGTGGTTTGAAAATTGGCTGGATTGCCGAGCTTGAAGGCAATAAACGGTGGGTTGACACGCAGTTGATAGCCAGCAAGCAGAGTACCCCAGAGCCAATACCTTCATCAGCAGCAGATTACAGGATTCATGATCAGCCCATTTGAGAATGCTGCTGATTGGGAGGAGGTAGAGGTTGACATGCTGACCAGTAGAACTACAGTCTGGAAGGTCCTTGAAGTACTTGATGTCTGGGGAAATAGAAGGGTCATGAACTGGAGTAGAATGACCTCAAGAATCAGTACAGTTTGGGATGAAAAAGCCTGAGTGGTAATCCAGCCAACCATATAATCTCATTGTAAATAAAGCAAACTGCTTACTGAGCTGGATATGTTGAACATACTGGCCAATGCAGCTGCAAGGTAGGATGTCACAAAGAGTATGACAAGCAGAAGAAAGCCTTTATCTACTTGGTGCTCTACTCTTTACTCAGTGCTCGTAAGACTGCACTTGGAAATGGTGTCCAGTTTTAGGATCTGATTCAAAAGTGTTGTTGCGAAACTGGAGAGAATCCAGGGAGGGGCTACAAGGAGTCTTACACCATATAATCTGTACTAGATGATGCTGAAAAAGCTGAGGCTACTACTGAAAAAGGAGGCTAATGAGAGGAAATGCAATTGCAGCCTACAGCCACTTCAAGGCATAGTTGTTAGAGTCAACTCCTTTCTGATGGTGGCAAAAGCTGTGATAAGGGACAACAGCTGCAAATGGCATCTTTGGAATTTTGACTTGGACATGAGAAAAAAAAATCAGGGTTATGCAGCACTGGAACAGAAACATTGTGAAAACACTATTCTTGCAGATTTTCAAGAACTGGCTAGAAAGAAGCTTAGGTAACCTGACCTGGTATTGGTAACAGTCTCACCTCAAGGAGGAGGTTTTAAAAGTGACCTCTAGAGATTCCTTTTGTAATTTTGATTCATTCAGTCTTCTTTAGGTCTGTATTGACACAAAGAGCTAGTAAAATGGAAGGATGAATTTAAATTATTGAATTGCCAGGTAATTATTATGTCAAATGGGCACCAGTCATTTAATTCTGAGTTTTAAGACTCAATGAAGGAACTGTAGGACAAATTAGTTTGGAAGTGACCTATGGAGGTCATTTAGTCTAGTGCCTTGTTTGAAAGACATTGCTGGGGCAGTACTTCCAAGGATGGGGAGGAATTTCACAACCTCTTTGTGCAAACTGCTGGGCCATCCTCCCATTTTCCTGGTATATTTGAACAGAAAACATCGTGTTCTGTTTCACAAATACTGATTCATTTGATGGTAAGATCATAAGAAATCTGGAGTTGATCATAGGGAACATCTGAGTAAAACAGGTGCTATTTGCCCCATGTCAGCCTCTGAAATGGAGAAATTGAATTATCTCAATTCCTTCAGCCTCTCCTGATACATGGTAAGTTCCAGCCCCTCTAACCATGTAGGTGCCCATTTCTGGATTAGGTCCACTATGTCACAGAATCACAGAATGGGTAAAGTTGAAAGGGATCACTGGGGGTCACCTAGTCCAATCTTCCTGCTCAAGCAAGGTCCCCTGGAACATCGGTGAAGTTGGGAGCATGGGGGAGAATTTTGTGGGGGTTTTCTTGGGGGCAAGGGGGTGTTGCAATTAGGTTGGAAAAGACCTCTGAGATCAAGTCCAACCTATGACCCAACACCACCATGTCAACTAAACCATGGCAGTAAGTGCCATGACCAGTCTTTCTTTTAACACCTCCAGGGATAGTGATTCCACCACTTTCCTGAGCAGTTCATTCCAATGTCTAATCACCCTTTCTGTGAAGAAATTCTTCCTAATGTCTAACCTAAACCTCCCTTGGTGCAGCCAAAGACTGTGTCCTTTCATCCTGTCTCTAGTTGCCTGGGAGAAGTGGCTGATCCCCATCTGGCTACAACCTCCTTTCAGGAAGTTGTAGAGAGTGATAAGGTTACCCCCAGGGCTTGTCTTCTCCAGGCTGAACAACCTCAGCTCCTTTAGCTGCTGCTCACAGGACTTGTGCTTCAGATCCTTCACCAGCTTTGTTGCCCTTCTCTGGACTTGCTCCAGCACCTCAATGTCCTTCTTGAAGTGAGGGACCCAGAACTGAACATAATACTTGAGGTGCAGCCTCATCAGTGCAGAGTGTAGGAGCGAAATCACTCCCCCAGTCCTGCCAGGCACAGTTTCTGATACAGGCCATGATGCCATTGGCCTTCTTTGCCACCTGGGCACACTGCTGGCTCACGTACAGCCGACTGTCAACCAGTGCCCCCAGGTCCTTTTACACTGGGCTGCTTTCCAACCACTCTTCCACCAACCTGTAGTGCTGCATGGGATTATTGTGGCCCAAGTGTAGGATTCGGTATTTGGTCTTGTTGACCCTCATACCATTAGTCTCAGCCCATCTTTAGAGTTTGTCTGGATCTCTCTGCCGAGAGATCTCTCTGCACTCCACCTGATAAACACTCCCACCCAACTTGGTGTCATCTGTGAATTTACTAAGGGTAGACTTGATCCCCTCATCCATATTGTCAGTAAAGATGTTAAACAGGACTGGGCCCAATGCTGATCCCTGGGGACACCACTAGTGACTGGACACCGACTGGTTTTGGCACCATCCACCACCACCCTCTGGGCCCCAATCAGCCAGTTCTTAACCCAGCAAAGAGTACACCTGTCCAAGCTATGGGCTGCCAACTTTTCCAGGAGTATGCTGAGGGAGATGGTGTAAAAGGCTGCTGAAGTCCAGGGAGACAACATCCACGGCCTTTCCCTCATCCACTAGGTGGGTAACCTGGTCATAAAAGGAGATGAAGTTGGTCAGGCAGGACCTGCCTTTCCTAAAGCCATGATGGCTGGAGTAATATTACCATGAGTAACCATGTTACTCAGGATTGTATCCAGACAGCTTTTAAATATTTCCAGAGAAGGAGATTCCACAACTTCTATGGGCCATTGTCTTGTAGCTCGTGTAAGCACTAAGTGTAAGGAACGGGGGTTGATGACATTTTTAAATTAGGAGTGTTTCTTTGTTGATTCTTTTAAGTTTAATATCATTGCTTCTATGTTTCTGTGAGTGCAAATGAACAGGATATATTTAGCTGATGATTAATGATATGGAACTGCAATTGACATGAAACCAAAACGCAAAGCAAGTAAAAATCACCATTTATGACAGAAAATGGGTAAATAATGCTGAATTAAGTCAGCATTTTTTTCCCCCAGAATTTAAATCTAGGGTTAAATTTAAATCTAGGGTTAAATTTAAATCTAGGGTTAAATTTAAATCCAGGGTTGGTTAACCTTTTGTGTAACTTTTTTTGAAAGTTATATATTGAAGAAACTAGATTTTTATCAAATGGTCATTATTCCCATTTAAACTTGCTGTTACAGCTGCAGAAATGAGCATTCAAAGGCTCAGGAGCCTCATTGTCAGCCCTGACAAAAAGCAGCAAAATCTCAGCTAAATGCAGCATAGGTATATTTCTTGATAGAATTACATGTGGAAATAAGGGCTAAAAATGGTAAATACTCAGGGATAATGTTGTTTTCCTGTATAAGCCTTGGAAAGTTCAAATTGTTTTTTAGATTGGCTTCCTCACACTACTCTCAAGAGGAAAAAAAAGGGGTTGAGCGGGGAATGCAACCAGTGCTTTCATACTGATGGGGTTTTTTTTAAATCTTTTAGTAGCTTTGTCTCAGTATGCAAATGGTTTTAAAAGGCTCTGCTTAAATTATTGTGTATCTGCCCTATCTGGAATAGCTTTTTATTTGGACTAATTGAAAAACTAAAATAAAAGCATTGACTTTACAACAGTGAAACATTTCAGCCTTGTTAATACTGTTCAATGATGTGGAAAACAATCATGAAGAGGGGAAAGCTTTTCGATACAGAATTTCCATTAAAATACTTTTCTCAGCAAGAACATTTAGTGCTGTACCTTAAATATCTGAACATGTCATTGCTAATTCCTATTAAACAGAAGGCTTGATTAACCCGGGCAATTTCAGAACAACTTATTTTTCTTATCTTATCAATCAGTTATGGAGCATGTCATGCTCAAAGTGCTATTTGATTTTTCTGTGCTTAACACTATCAGTGTGAAGCTGGCATCCATTGCTCAGAGCTACTCAGTGGATATAAATGCAAATGCCTTAATTACATTAATTACATATGTTTGCATACACACGTGATAAGAAGCTGGAAAGTTCCTTGACTATTTCCCAACGTTTATTATTGTTTCTTTCTCCACCCTGTTATTATCATTACTATATGATTTTCTTTTCCTATTGCTACTTTGAAATAAAGCTTGCTTTTTACTTTTTTTTTTACATTTTTTTTTTTTTAACCTTTTTTAATGGTCTCTTTCTTCCAGGTTAATGTGGAAGGTGTCCACTGTGACAGGTGCAAGTCTAGTACATTTGGTCTCTCTGCCAGAAACCCACTTGGCTGTAGCTCTTGCTATTGCTTTGGCCTGACTACACAGTGCAGTGAGGCAAGGGGGCTGATCCGCATGTGGGTGAGTAGGAAACTGCTGAGCTATGTAATGTGATAATGTTGTTTCCTGCTGGCATCTTTTAGTCAGGCACTGAGAGGCAGCTAGAAAATGGCCAAACATTTAAGCAATCATTTTCCTCTTTATACTTTGAGAAGTGGTAAGAGTGATATGTTCCATTAGACAGTCAGGGTCAAGGCATTAAAAGTAAATAAGTAGATAAGAAAATGAGTGATAGAATAGCTGACGTCAAGCCAAAGTAAAGCTATTAAACCCCAGGAAAGGGCAAGCTAGTCGTTTGGGGAAATTATGCAGTCCAATGCATTGCAACATAATCCCTGGTACATGATACACAGTTTACCCAGGTGTATTCAAGGGTCACAGATGGCTGCTGTCCAGCATAAATTTCCTATAGTTCAATTAATCTTTTTATTTTCATTGTTGGCTTTGTTGTTTGGGATTTTTAAAATTATTTTTAAAAGAGCTTATTGAAGCTATATTTAAATTCAAGAATGGAAGGGTATAATCCATCAGAGCAAACAAAGAGCTCTCCACCTTTCTGTGGAAAAGGGCCTTGAGACTTATGTTGGACTGACAAATAAGGCAGGCTGGATATCTCCATTTATCTGAATAATAAGCACAAACACACATTGAGACCACTACTGTTCATCAGTGCTGTGCCAGCTCCTCAGTTAACTTCTGGAGGAGCATTTCCTAATGGAAAAATTACTAGTTCTGTCCCCATGTATGGTCAGGCATATCTCTGCTCGAAAGCATGTCAGCCATAGAGGAAATTTGTCTAATGCAAGTCAGCCAAAGCCCCTGACTTGTCATGTACAAGTACCAGTTGGATAAGGATATTTTAGGCTGAAATCAAGTTTATCTGTCTTGCTTAATGTAATATGATTAGCACTTATTCTCCCTTTCATTGTCCAATCCAGTAGCATGTCTTTCCCTTCCTGGTGGATGAAGTGATTTATTGTGATCTGACCCAGTTTTTCTCATTATTTCAGTTTTGCCCATCATATGCTGCTGGACTGGAGATAAAAGGCTGTAGAAGGCTGACAAGTTATGAAATTTAATCAAGTTTCATGACAGCAACAGTTCTGGATAATTGTGCTTTGACCTTTGTAACAGCACAAAGCAGAAACAGTTTAAACCTCTAGATTATTTTTTTCTCTTTATTAATTTCCTTTCATATTTATGCTCATATAAACAAATGTCTGTCCACATCTCATCTAATTTTTGACACTCTGATCTATTTCAGAATTGTAAACTGAGTGATACTGCCAGCTGCTAGTGCCTATTTCAGATACTCTCATGTTCTTCAATGGCATTAGGCATGTTGAAACAAGCAAATCCTGTCTTACATGACAATAAGGCACATTTGATCTGAAATTCAAATATTTTGACCACTTTTTTGATATCTGAAGTATTAAACAGTAAAATACAGTTATGACAGAAACCCAGGAAATCTCAGTTAAAGCTCACTATGTTAGGAATGTTATGTCTGATCCGTCCATAGATGCTGCTGTAAATGGAAATACCAGGATACTGGAAGTACAGTACAGGGCTGGGTTGAGTCCTTGTTACCTGACTCCTATCTCAAGACCAGTCTGTTGATGGGATGACTGTTAGAGAGAGATGACTCTACATTTGTTGTCTTTATTTCTCTCACTCTGTGGGAGAAAGTAATTCTGTGCCAATGGAAGTATCACATGGAATGTGTAAACAGATGCAAAAGGCTCATATCAAAATTGCTAAGACTCTTACAGTTTTTGAACAAAATAATGATTTCAATGTAATGCTATTGAGACTGTGTCAACAAGTAAAGAAAATTACAAGCATCTAAGTGGCATCCTTATATTTGTCATTAAATCTGAATTTAGAGTTACAGAAACCCTCACTGAGCCCTCACCCTCTGCATATTGCCTGGAGAACATCTAGCTTGAATATTGCATACAAGTATCAAGGGATCAGGCACTGTGTTCCACAGCCCCAAAGATGTATAAGTGCTGGTGAGAACTGTGCCTCTTCATAAGGTACATTTCTCACAGTGGGAACAGAAGAGGTCCAAGACTGAAATAGCATTGTGAAAATCACTGGATAAAAGTCATGGAATCACTTGCTGATTAAACTATTTTAACCTGTGCTGCTACATTCTTTGTTAATATGAGGACAAGGTGCCAAAACGCTCAAGGGGAAAGTCATTATTAGCACTGTTTATACCTGAAGGAGTAGCAAGACTGCTTTCTGACAAATTGCCCAGGATGTGAAGTGAAATTACTTAGAAGTAATTCTTTAAGAGTTAGAATTTAAGGATTAACACTTCATGGGGTAAAAGAGAGTTCATTTTCTTCTTGATTTTTTTGAATATGCATAGGTGACCTTGAAGCCAGAGCAAATGATTCTGCCTCTGGTGGATGAAAAGCTTCAGCGCAGCACTCTGTCGGGGATTGCATTCCAGCCTCCTGAAATAGTAGCAAATATAGAACAGGTGATGCAGGATCTTCGGTCAGAACCTGTTTACTGGAGACTTCCAGAGCAGTTTGAGGGACGAAAGGTAAACCTAAAATTCCACTGAATACTGACATGGATTTTATTCTTTTGTAGTCTTATCTTTCTGGTTTGCAGTGCTTTTTTCCCTTCCAATAAGCATGTCATCACACAGTGAAAGGTACTTCAAAAGAAAATAAATGCTGTTCCATTATTAAAAATTATTTGCCCTGTTATCATGGAAATTCATAAAGTAACATGAACAATATTTTAAAGTAGATATTTAAAGATAGTAACATGCAATCTTTTTCCACAGGATAGATTTTCTAATTAAAAGTGTTATTTGAAATATTAAGCATAAATTTAATATAACTCTCTTGTAAATTTTTTTTCTCTCAATTTTAAACAAAGAATGTCTGACCTTTGTGAGTTACCCAGGAGAAAATGATTGAAATAACCCTCCTTTTGAATATTGTTGTGCACCTCTATGATGATTTATTTTGCACTTTTGATATTTCATCATTTGGCTTGGGAAAGTTTTGATGTTTCTTTCTTTGACCACAAATACTGGGGAACGCCAAGACACATATAAAGAAATAGATAGCATATTGGGTTTGGTGTAGTACAATAACAAATTGTTGATGGATGTCTTTGAACACAGGTGTTGTCTCCAGATAGTTCCACAAACATGTATTGCTATTTTCTACCACATGTGTGTTCATCAGACTGCACATAGGTCATATATATGCCCAGGAAACTTTTTTAGCTAACTGAAAATGAGATTTCATTCTGTTCTTTGTCAGCTGACCGCTTATGGAGGGAAACTGAAATATGCTATCTACTTTGAAGCACGAGAAGAGACAGGTTTTACCACTTACTACCCTCAAGTCATCATAAGAGGTGGGCCTCCCACCCACACAAGAATTATTGTCCGGCACATGGCTGCCCCTCTGATTGGGCAGCTGACAAGGCATGAGATAGAGATGACAGAGGTAACATTTCCATCTGCTTTTTTTGCCCCAGAACTTAAACACATGGTTCTTTTTAATACTGTTAATAATCTGGTTTGGTATTTCTGTCTTGCAGCACGAATGGGAATATTATGGTGATGACCAAAGAGTCAGAAACACTGTGCCCTGGGAATATTATCATGATGACTCAGGTATCAACAGGACAATGTCTCAGGCAGATTTCACCTGGAAACATTATGCAGATGACTCAAGACCAAGTAGAGTTGTATCCCGGGAAGACTTCATGAATGTGTTATATGATGTTCATTACATTCTTATTAAGGCGACTCATGGCAATATCATGAGGCAGAGCAGGTAACTATTTCATGCAGTGGTCTGAAATAGTGCAATAGTCACAGACAACCTTGTAGACCTCCCAGCTACACCCAACAGAATTTGTATTCGTAACATCAGGTATAAGCCATTGCTGAGAAGAAAGAACAGAAGGAGTTAGTGACATGAGGGAGAGAAGTTTTATTCGATAGAAAATGTAAATTGCAATAGGCAAATGAAATCTTTATTTTCAGGATCCTAGAACAGAAAACAAATGTAAGCACAAACATTCTGAAACAAATCCACAGTGTTTTGTTAATAAATGTCTACTTTATGAAAACATGGTGCTGTAATTAAATAGAAATTTGGCACGTGAAGGAGTTTTCTCCGGAAAGTGGGAAATGATACTTCATTGAATATATATGGGTCAAATATACTCAACATTTTCTATTCAATCTGTTAATTAATAAGTTATAAAATAAAATAAAGATAACTCTTATTACATTTGAAGTGGACATCAGACAGCAAGATGACAGGAACAGTACAAAAATCTGCTGCAATCTCAGGGTCAGCTATAAGATTTTACACTGAAAGAAACAGTCAATTGGACAACTGCTTAGTTACTTGTTCTTCAAAGAGGAGTCTGTTATTTACAACATATCACCAGGTGAACATGATTCAGTAACAATATTCTTGTTGAGAAATGCTAATATTCTATCTGCATGTATAAATAGATATGGCCTGCAAAGTGGAAAAAGCTAAGCTCTTTTACTTCTGCCCAACACTAGTAAAGCCTGAGCACCAAGTTCTGGTTAATGGAATTCAAGAAAAAGTTGTTAATGTGTTCAGAGGATTTCAGTGAACATCATCACATGTTAGAAAATATAACCTGTGGGAGAAGTTGTAAAGAACCAGATATGTTTAGAAACTAGAAATTGCCTTGAGATACTTAAAATGATGTTACAAAGAGAAAGAAAAGAATGAGTTCTCTGTTGCCATGGTGGGTAAGTCAAAAACACAAGTGAACTTCAACTTCA